AATATATAAAACCTGTGGGACGATAGCCAGCCTCCTACCAAGATTTTAACTCGACACACCCAGAATACGTGCGTGCCTCGTGCTACATACACGTCATGACGTCAGGTGTAAATCTCACGTTGCTTAGCTTACTTTGTCATTACTTTTCGTTGCCTCTCGGTGTGAGCTGTCACGAAAGATAATATCCGATCTTGTTCTGCGCAGTGAATTTAATAACTGCAGATAGCTTAAACGTTTTTCAAGTCTTTCTAAAATGTTATAAGGCTTAGTAAAGTATCCATTCTCTTGCACTATTTTGGTACGTTTTCTTTTAAACGTGCTGGAAAAGTACGTACGAATATAATGGGCTGAAATATTCGCTTCAAACTATTATCATTTATAAATGAGGGCTAGAGAAAATACAATTAACAAACTGCCTACAAGGAAAAATTCACTGATGCCTATTTACATTGTTCGGATTGTAATGAAACAACATCTCTTAGGGTGGTGATGACCGTGGCGGTATATAGAATACCCCTTTTTTTAAATTTGTATGAAACCGATGCTTTATTTTGTTACCATTGTGACTAAGGTGTTTTTAAGGTTCTACAAAGGAAAACAATTCTGATAACAAGGTCACAGAAAATTACCACACGGTCGTATTTATTTGTATCCTATGTTGTTTTCTTAGCTCGGCCTTCAACAGAAGTAAAGGACGGTAATCGGCAGGTATAGAAATGCGCTAAAGTTACTGATTCGTATTTTTAAACACGTTAATCTCACTATATAGACGTCGTGTTAGCTGATGTGTCTCCTAAGTATCGTGAGACGGTTCCGTATTCCTCAAAGTAAGGCCTTTCCACAAATCAAATATTGATTGCAGGCCACATCCGGCTTATTAATGAACTGTTTACTTTGAAAACAGCGAACGTGGTGTGTGCGGTATTATGAATGTCTCTCTGTTATTATTCCAAAAATGCCTTTAAGGAGTTAACATTTCTATTAAATATCGTTCTTACATTACAAAAACTTGAACGAAAAGCACAGTGAAGTCTGAAGAATAATGCTAACAACATTCACACGGAACCCGTAGGATATGTTCCGTTAATGTTAGAGTGCAAAAACGGCTTTAATTGCCAAGGGCCCAAAGGTTAAGGGTTATTATCATAAGTTCACCAGTACAATCCTTGCATTTGCTTGGATAAACTGAGAAAAACACGAGAAACTCAGGATAAACTCTCTCCAGACCGAAATTTAAATCTGGAACTTGTAGTATATGAAGCTGGAGTGGTAATCTCTCGACAGCGACGTTTGGTATTATCCGATTATGTTTGTTTCAGCCTTTTCAAGCAGTCATTTCCAAGTCAACATTCGCTTTTCTTTCTTCTCTGGTCCGAGCTATATCCATTGCATCCTAACCGTACTGTTTTAGAAAGCTGACGAAACTTTAGTAGTTTCTGAGCTAAGTATCAAGACGCTTTTCGTGAATTTAATCTCGTGAAAGCGTCTGTGTGGTCGACAGAAACCGAAGGTATTTTGCAGTCAGAAAGCCAGCGGTCTAAAGTTAGATATAAAAGATTCTTTGAATGTCAGAATCTTTACATTCTTATTAATTTGAAATTGCGTTTAAAGCTCTACAGTGTGTTAATAACAACGAAGTTTGGCACAGACTGTACTTGCATTTCAAGGCTCCAGTAGGTTTCAGGGCGATTTGAACTCGACCTTCAGGCTTTAAGAAAGTCTTGAGATCATGGTTGGGAGTGTCTAGTGATCGGTAACGTCCTGAATGACACGTAATTTAAAGCAAGTTTCTCAGCAGGCTTTTATTACCAAAAAATCTGGGTTAAATTAAATGTTTTCCACTTATTTTCTTCTGTCTGTGTAACCAATACCCTCTCGTTTAAAACTACAAAAGGAAACATTGATTTATCAGTCAGAAGGAAGTTTTCGTTATGTAATTCTAAAACCATCATTTTTATAGTGGTCTCTCGATCGCTGTTCCGGGTACTCGAACCGAGGCACGTCCTGGTACAATTTTCCCAGCGAAAGCCAGGACTTCCAAATAAACCCATATCCCTTTAACACTTCACCTTTTTATCATACTATCATATTCGTTGTTAAATAACTTTAGTTTGTGGAGTTAAATGGCTTCTTCGCGCCGTACAGACGCGTCCTCAAGATTGGCAAACCCACAAACCATCATAAGTTCAATTCCTGTAATTACCATGACGAAACTTACACTTGTTGCTGCGATGTGGGGGTCCGACCCGGCGTTCCAGAGCAGCAGAGTGACGCGGTCACCTCTTGCCCGCACTTTGGAGGCGACGTCACCAATCCTCTGACCCAGGACATCCTCTCCGTTCACCTCCAGCACGCAATCTCCAGCCTGGAGTCCCGCAGACTCTGCAGCTGATCCCGACTCAACTTCACTTACCCACGGGTACGGATCGCACACCGTTCGGGTCAGATGGAATCCACATGAACCCGCGGAAGGTCGTTCCACATCACAAAGTCGTAGCGACGGTTGGTTCTCGCCCATTTCGTCCTGCATAATAATAACCACACTTGCGTTCCTGCTTCAGCCACTAAGCGTGTTGTTATGAAACATCCAGACACGTTAACTTGTTTTCCTTCTCTTACCCTCCGTTAAACACTCCACACATCCGACGATAATTTTCGGTGTCATAAATTACTCATTTCCCCCCAGGAAATGTCAAGAACACGATTTACCTCCTCAAGTAAAAGTTTTATTTTCCGAAAAGGTCCTTGTTCTCTATTCCGTAGAGCGAAGTTTCCTTCCAACCGGCAATTTCTTTCAATGCAGACTCTTGCGTCTTCTGTTTTTCCTTTGTTCGAAGTTTAAACAGAGATTCCGAACACGTGACTACAGAAGTTGCCGGTGGAACTGAAAAATGTGAGTGAGAGTGTCGACTGCTGCCTCACGCAGTCCGAGTCGGAAGAGAACTGATTGGCTCTCATCGGTCTTGACTCGTGCTCACTCACCAGAACAGGAAATGAACACCGTGGCAGCGACACAGCGAAGGACAGCAAGCTCTCGATTGTTTGTAAAATGCTTCAGAGAACAATACTGATGCTAAGGGCAAGTGATCATGTATTAAGTCTGCATATTCTTTAGTTAACTGAAATCCAGTTAACAAGCCTAAACCCTATTTTCATCACGCCCTCTCTACTGCGCCATGGTGTCCCGAGTGGTCCTTCCCCTCGGGTTTCCACCAAAATATTGTGTATAGTTCTCATCTCCATGCGTGCAACATGCCCAACCCATCTCTTGCTATCTATATTTGTTTGCCTGTGACAGGCTTATATCTGTTTGCAAATACTCTCATAAAGGTATTGAATTGTTTTATTATATTTTAATTGGGCCTAAACATGAATTATTCAATCTCTGCTGACTCCACCAAGCTTGAGGGCGTCCAGCGAAATTTCTTGGTCCCGTCTTACAATAGATTCTGTTCCCAGACCCGTTATACTACAAAGTGTATGGTTTATCGTGCATAAATTAATGCAGATGTCACACTTAAAAATATTTCTAGACACGCGGAGAAGTCATGGAATGACGGAAATTTCTTGACGGGTATTTTCTTAACGTTTGTCGTAGTGAATATGAATTATTTACAAGAACTTTATCTTTTATTGTGACCCTTGAATGAAAGTCACAAGGTTTTCAATCGAGTGAGGAAATAGGTCACAATTCTGCGTTATCAGTCGTTACCAAATTCTTCAACTACTGTTTATCATCTGAGAATCTAAAACGCATTCATAGATTCGTTAGTTTTGTGGGCCGTAGCGTTGTTCTGCATGAAATGCAGTTTACATTGCTTGGTCTTCAAGTCAAATTATAAAATATGTCAGAATTAATCTTTAACGTTTGGGCTTTGTTATTTTGTACAAAATATTACCCTGATATTCTTAGATCACTAATTGCGACTGTGCATTGGTCTGATCCAACTGTCGTGTTGCATCAACGTAATAACTTATACGTTTCATGCAGTACTTCATATTTATTATATGGAACCACATTATCTATAATACATTAAGTTAAAGTTATTACAGTTCAGTTGTTATAGATATGCTAATTAGTGAATGTGCCGTCAGACAAATTGTGTTTGCGCAGAATGCTTAAAGATGACCTTGTACAGATACGAATCAACACATCATAAAAGAGTTTCTGATTCGCCGTGTGGTAGACACTAACAGTCTGCAACCTTCACCTCGGCCTCCATTTTAATTGGAATACCAGATTCTAGTTGAGTAGCAAAGTTTTCTGTAAGGATGCTCGCTGTAAGACAAATACCATCTTGAGATTTAGATATCTGTGACCAGGAAGTTGAAGACAATGATAAGGCTCTGTGCCGGAAGGTAAGGTCTCTTGCGTGATCGCCGTGTCCCTTTACGTTCAAGACAAGGTCGTAATTATTCGCTTCCTGTTGAGACCCGATCATCCAGAGCCACACTAGAGTGTCAGCGGCTGGAAGCTGCCGAACCACTTTCAAGAAAAATGTGTTTCTGTCGTGATTTACAGCTACCACAGCTGTTTCTTCGAATGCTAAAGGAAGACTAAGAGACAGTCGAGGTTTAAAGTAATGCATTAAGGGGCCTTCGTGAGATTCTTGGATATGCTGCAACACCTCCGAGGCCTTTAGGAGACAAGGGCATTGTTGTTCGCAGGGACAACAGTACAGCAGGGAATCAGTGAAGTCAGAATCAAGTGATTCACAGGAGCCATGGTAAGAAGCAGGTCGCTTTGAACCCAGATAGGTCGGAACGTCGAGGAATGTACTGCCGATAAAGTGCGTAGAGTTGACTGACGGTGACCGAGACACTGGTCTAGAGCCTAAAGGGTGACATATCTCACTAGTAGAAAGAGACTTGGCTTTGAGATTAGAAGAGAATTCTGAATCTATTACTGCAGATAAATGCCTTGGAATTGCTGAAATATTCACGGGGGTAGATGATAGATTTTCTACTGATGACGACTTCCCCAGGATGCGTGTCAGGAACTTGTTAGTAGGGGGCATCACCAGGTTGATCTTTAGTTCCGGCTTTGTTTTTGATTCTTGAGATTGCTTATTTTTCTTGGATCCAAAAAGACGTTCTCGCAACTTGGCGGGTCGTGTTTCTTCAACTTCGTCCTTTATCCCGAAGGCTTCTGTGAGGGAGTTGAACACTTGGTCGGCAAGAAGACTGCGGGCTCTACAGAAACGCATACGACAGATGGGGCAGCGTTCGGTCTTGACTCGGCATTTGACGCAGATTAGGTGCCCGTTGCCGCACTGGTGTGCAGGGGGTGGGATCGTGTCAAGACAAACTGGACACTCAAGGACGGCCAGAATGGAGCTCATGCAGGCTGAGAGGCGCTGTAGGTTCGACGGCATTGGACCGCAGCACAGCGACTGAAACAGAACAATTGTTGGTCCATGTAATGTGCAGCCTTGAAGCATATAAAATTCTTTCTTCTTGTGTACTCAGTCTTGTTAGGTGGCCATGACGGTTTTTATAGTGAAATAAATTATATGTTAACAGTTGTTTTGTTTCTTAGCAGCCCGTTAATTAAACTTTACCCTAACTGGAATGCCTAATAGATTAGGGATGTTATTATTCGGAACATTTTATTTAAAACAATACTGGCTAAGGACGGAAACTTTAATTAGAAAACAGTAATTCATTTCTACAGGAACAATCAGTTTGTATTAACTTCCACGTATACGTATAAAAAACAAAATTACAATGGGGAGATCTCATCCATACGTCCCTCTGTTTGTAACATGTTTTCAGAATAATGAAGTGTAGTTTAATTATTCAAATTATGTCCCGCTTTTTGTCCGCCCACTTCGTAAGAGTCATCACACTGATACAAAAGTGGGATGAATTTCATTGGGTAAAGATATTATGCAAGGATACACGCATTCACACGGAAAAGTCGATACTGTAAGCCTGTCATTTAATATGCAAAACGAAAAATTGAAGGAATAATGCAACAGTAAATGCATTTACTTGTGGTGTACGCATTTATCTGTAAGCTATTTTCCTTTGTGGCCATTAAATCAAGCCCTGCAGCTGCAAGAGAGCTGTGTTGCACAAGGTCTTGCAATGCCCCTGAAATAACCACTACCGCGCCGCGCACGATAATACACGTAACACACTGAGCGCTGTAGGTCAGTATCCAACCTTCTGATTTCATTTGCTTTAAGAATTGTAAAAACTTGGAATTCTGAATAGGCCTAATGTACTAGCCTGCTGGTAGGTGCATTATATGCGCTATACGACTATACAGAATACGGGCATTTATTATAAAAGCACTGACGTGAGATAAATGCTATAGTATGTGCTCGTATACTACTTGTTTGTTTTAAAATAGCTTATACAACACATACTATATGGACCTATGAATGATAAAGTTATTGGAGGATGTAGGACGATGAAATGAAGCTGTAGGAGATGGGCGGTCATGTAGCATACACGGAGGAGATGAAATATGCATACAAAATTTTTGCTGAAGACCTTGAAGGGAAGAAATTGCTCGGAAAACCTAAGCTTAGATAGGAGCATACCAAAATGCATATTGAAGAAATAGTTTTTAGAGATGAGGATTATATTCATCTGCTTCATGCTAGTGTACATTTCCTAAAAGTCTCGGTTCGCGGAGGTGAAGATGTCACCCTGACGTTAGTAGCAATATATCCGTCGGACACGTTGGTAACCACCTATAAGCCCACACAGCGCTACAACCCAGGAGATTACTATCGACACCCAAAAAAATCTGTTTGGAAACGTCACTTCGCAGACCTTACCTCGGGGCTGCAGCTGGGGTCCGACCCGGCGTTCCAGAGCAGCAGAGTGACGCGGTCCTCCCTCGCGCGCACTTTGGAAGCGACGTCTCCTATCCTCAGACCCAGGACATCCTCTCCGTTCACCTCCAGCACGCAATCTCCAGCCTGGAGTCCTGCAGTCTCCGCAGCTGATCCCGACTCCACCCCACTCACCCATGGGTATGGGTCCCATTTGCTTCGGGTCAAATGAAACCCACAAGAACCCGTGGCAGGCCGCTCTATGTCGCATAGCCGTACGCTCGGAGAGCAATGCTGGTCGCACTCAGCTTCTGATGTCATCGTGTTCACCATCGTCACCGGCTGAAAGTACATAGCCAAGGTTTAGTTTACTACTATTTTATGTTAAGCTGTTATGTTGCAGAAATCTGGCCCGCGTACAATTCTGTATACACACTAAGTAAAAAGCCAATATTATAAATTCTCGTTACATCGCTTATTTATAACTGGTTGAATATCATAATGGAACAACAGTACATAGCTTTATAAGCCTGCCACATATTCTTTGCGCTTAGAGTATAAACCTCTTAGCCACTTCCATGACAACGCAGCAAGTTTCTCGGTGTGAGACAATGGCCCTTCTGATATGGATTTGTTTCATATATCAGAAGAAGGCTAAAAGAAACGTAACTTGTCATTTCACAGCAGTTAAAATCTGTGACTACTGGAAATAGAAATATGGAATAACAACAACAAATGGTCTCGTTAGAAAAGGGGTTAAGTATTATAGTTCAAATGCACATGAAGTTTTTTCTTAGAAATGTAAAGTACTGCCTTGAATTAAACTATGATGATGATGATATAATTTTACTTTACTGTTATTAATTACTGAAGAACCGAGCAGTCTCTTCTGTGCATAATCATTGTTATGCAAACATAAAGAGAATAATTAAGACTGGGAGTGTAAGCACTTATAGACTACTTAGAACAAAATGTTGCTTACCTGTTACCAGAAGTGTGTCTCGCTGCTCTGCGTAAAGAACAATGTGGTAGGACGGCTTGAGGAGAAGTAGTTTTGTACATACACTGGTACCGATCTACACACCATGTGTAAATTATTCTCATTGACGAATTGTTTTACAACTGAACCCGAGTGTCAGAAGAGCGCGTAATTTTTCATCTGTAAGAACATGACAATCAAACCTATTTTATGTTACGCCGTTTACTGTAACTGAATTATTTTTCTTTAATTCTGACATAAATGATGGATATCGCTCATTGCATCCGACTGAATGAGTGTGAACAGAACCGATGGCTCTTACCTCACTCATTCGGCCGGCCTGATGTTCACCTTCACCTAATTCTCTGTGCCTCTGAGTACAGCAGCCACCAGCGGCTATGGAACAAGCCCCGACGAAAATTTGCCACGTTATTTATCAATGCTGTATCAATGCTGTACGTGAGACGCGATGAAACTTGCTTGTTTTTTTGACGTAAACACGTCTATACGGAAGGGTCATTCGGCATAAACAGCGTTGCGAACGTATAGCGTAAAGGTACAATTTGGCTGCACGCGACAGAGACAAGCGACCGAGGCAGGCGACAGAGACGGGAGACGGACACATCGCAGCTTGTCGCCACACACTTTTGAGGTGACGACCGAGACATGCGGCAAAGTGGTTTTTTTTCTTTGTTTTGTTGAGACATACGTGCACACATTCTGTGAAAAATGAGTACAAAAATGCTTCTAAAAAGGTTACTCGAAGAAGAAGAAGAAGAATAAGAAGAAGATGTGTTGTTGTGTTATTTTTTGCGAAAGAAACAAAGAAAACCTATGAGTTCAATATTCAAAACCAGACGCGAAGAAGGATCTTTCTGTCTGTGGTCAGTGGTCGGTTTTCTGCTACTAATTCTACCAATTGCTCATTTTGGTCACCAGTAAATTTAATTTCTGCCATTATTTTACTCAACAACACACGTGCTGCCTGAGCCCGTCGCGAGACACT